AGACAAGACAATTCTAACTAAAAGCATCCAAGATGCAGGTTTTTTTTTTTTTGTATAGTTGAGATGTTATTTCTCTTGATCATCATCATCATACTGGTATTTACATGGAACTATTACACATCTATTAATTTTACTACACTAAAAGTTTTCAAAAAAGACAAGTGGAGATTTCTTCTTTTTTTTTTGCGGTTAACTGCAACTTTGTAACTGCGTTTCACTTTCACCATAAAGCAGCTAAACTAAATAATGCGGGTCTGATATTTCAACATTTCATTTACGTAGCTTTACAGGTATACAAGAACATCTCAATGTAATTTGTGATCCATTTGATCAAAGGAGACCAGGTCTCTTCAACAAATGCCTGAAAGAGGTCCAATCTGGGATGACCAAAGAGGTTAGACCCAATGAAGAATTATGGCATGAATTCTACAACATTAAAAATTTTGCATTTGTCCTCTCCAGGCAGTGGCATTTATCATTTGATCTCTAGGTCACAAGTGGAGTACTGTACCTTTCACAAGGGCTCTAAAATATTACATTCCGTTAGGTGATATCAGTATTGTGGCATGGCCAAGCAGCCTGAAGAGGGTGGCATATGGGATGGGGGTAGAACTGGGGCATCATTTGGGACGGGGACACGGTTTAGGCATGATGGAGGAGTTGAGAAGTTGCTGTTACCAGATGGTATAACCTCCACTGGATCCACCCAGGAAGAAGTTGCTCTTGCGCTGTGACATTACAACATTGGCACCCTGCATGGCAGCCAGCTGAGCTGCATTGGGGGGATGTCCAGGAGGTGGGGGCTGAGGAGGGGAGAAACAAGCACAAACATGCACAGACATAAGATAATCTGACACTGCATCTCAACAACAACCTAACTGTGATCAATATGGCTCCTTTAAATCATTGAACTAGATGGACACTCACTGGGATGGAAACGCTGCTGCCTGCTGTGAAGCGAGCACCAGTATCAAAGCCACCATCCACCATCACTGTTGATCCAGGCGGGTACACGGCTCCCATGGGATAGTAAGCCATGGGGACATTCTGACCCACTGGCCCAACAGCCATGTGTGGCTGCATGGGCATAAACACCTGAGCACCAGGGTAGGGAGAGGACATCTGAGGCATCTGACCAGGCACCTGAGGTGGAAGCACATATCTGGGCTGGTATATCTGCAGACACAGAGGAGGACAGACAGGTTTAAAACCGTTTAGAAGGGTCACTGTGAGTAGTAACTGTATTATTGTATGACTTAGAAATGCAATAATTACCTCAGAATATGCAGGTGGTGTGTCTGTGTAAGGAGGTGCCTGAGGAGACATTTGCATAGCAGGAGGGTATACAGGTGCAGTGCTCTGCTGAGGGTACACAGCCTGCTGTGGATATGAACCTGCAAAACAACATTTTACTTTAAAGCAAATATTTGTCTCTATAGTCTTAACAGTGATTGACATAGAAATCTCAGACTGAGTGAAGTGATTGGGATTTCAGCAGTTACACAACATCATGTTCACTGTCAGAATACACCAAAGAATATCACATTTTCAGCAGTACTAGAGTATATCTTAATATTTAAATATGGACAGTAGATGAATTTAGCACATACAAAGTTAGTGTCAATTCCAGTCACTCACAGCCGGAGATCGCCTATTAGTAAAATTTATTTTATCCACAAAGGATAAAAGACGCCCGAGAAATTTTCTGCCTATAAATCCTGTCTTGTTTACTTGACAAAACTGCACCAAAAAGAGCAAATTACTTATTCCAATGATAAATACTACAGCTGAAATTAATTGCTGTTTTTTTTTTTATGGAAAATAAATGTGAAAGTATTTTGATATTTGATTCATTGTTTAAACAATTTTTATGCAAAGGTTCTCTGTTTGCAGCTTCTCGAATGTGAATTATTTCTGGTTTTCTTTGTTCTTTCATCAAACAAAACAAGACCATAAGGTTCCACCTCAGGCTCTGGGAACTTGTGATGGGTATTTCTGCTCATTGATAACACTCGATAATCAGTAAAAATAATCAGTAAATTAATCAGAAATAAAAAATAACTAAGTTGCCCTAAATCTACAAACCTGCCTGGCTGCAACAAAATACCTGACTATGATTATGTGGCTGGCTACAAGAAGTATTTGCAAACAGTGATATCTGCCAAGAGGGAGGTTACTAAGTACTGACATGTGATTTTTTAAATTATCAATTCATTTACTGATTATTTCCTTGAGCAATTCTTTGATGCCTTGAAATCTTTTTTGTCTGATGGGAAGACAAAGAAAACAAATTATTCACATTTGAGAGGAGAATTTATGCCATTTGTGTTAAAAAAAGATCAAATTAGTTGCTAATTAATTTGACCAATAAACCTACCAATCAATTACCAAATTAGTTTCTGATTAATTTGACCAATCAATAAATCGACCAATCAATAAATCAACTAATCGTTTTAGTTATATTTAGCTGGTTTACACGTTAGTCTAGATGCTTTTATGTTTTTTTTAATTACTCCCTGCTCCTGAATAAATAATTAATTTCAGCTGTAGTTTTTATGGTTGGTATTACTAATTTGAACTTGAACTTTTATCAAGGAAACAATATAGGATTTAGACAAAAATTTGCTGGATTCTGAGAATTTGTTTTTACATTTTAGCTTTATAAAAGACGTGAAATGATAAAACGATGAACAAAATAGTTGTAGATTAATTTGTCTTATCGTATAAAACTGTAAGTTTTATATAACACAAATAATATAAAATATACAAATTAACTAATTTATACACACATGAGCAAAGTATCAGTAAAATACACGGTACAGATTTAAATTCCCATGCGTGGGTCTTACAAAACAAGAGGAAACGGTGTCATCTTTGCCTTTAAAATTCGCCTGTTTTTAGTGATGCTAGCTGACTGAAAATATGTGACTTGGCCAATAATGGTCCGAGAATATAAGGTGACAGTAAATCCAGATGTTCATTACTAACATCTTTAGTATTAGATGATAAACTAGATGCCTAAGTTGAACATGACTGTGCTCCGTGTTAACCAGAAAGCGTCGGTTTATTGTCATGTACGTAGCTAAACGTGAAGTCCTCTCCTTCAGATGGCCATAACGACAGCTCTTCATCTCTAGTTATAACATCAGCGTCCTATAACGAACAGTTGACTAATCTCCTAAATACGGTCTGGAGAAATACCTTTGTTGTTCATTGTTGTGGACTGTTCCGGAGGCTGAGGAATATCAGATTAAAAGGGAGACTCTGCGTATGTAGTCACGGCCTTATAACAGGTTACGGCTGCTTCACGATCATCCACTTCCTTGTTTTTCAGCTTCTTGTTGTTGTGGAAGTGGTGTCGTCACTCGTTCTCTATCTGTGGTTCGTTCGACGCACGCAGTGTTTCACCTGCTCGAGCGCCCCCTACAGGTAGGAAACAAAAGGAAGCTGAAGAATGAAGGTGAACTGTTGTCTCATTCACAAAAGAAAAAATAATTGGACTTGGCTGCGTAATTCTAATTTATAATGTCACAATTAACAATATCAGAAAACTATCTGAATTACGAAAAAACGTAGACTAACGAGGCAGGAATTGGTACGCCTCAGAACTTGCCTGAGAATCATCAGGTTTTTAAGATTCCCACGGTATCACAGTAATTCACTGATAGTTCTCAGTGCACCCAATGGTACATAGCAACAATGATCTACTAATAGCTATTTCGGCCTTTTTAATTTTCCAAAATGTGAACAAATAAAGGTTAAAAAATGGGGCTTAAGTTGTTATGACTCAATGAATCCATGGCAACATTACACTTCCTGTTTGAATTTTACGTCTGTTAACACAAGGCTCTTAACGTTTAATATAACATTTTACAAAATACTTTGTTCAAAAAGAAATATACAACAACATCAACACTTAATTAGATTGACATTCAAGCTTTAAAAACAAACAACAAAAAACATACGACAAAAACAAATAAAACTCTCCCAATAATAATAATAGATTGAGAGCTCATAATTAAAAGATCAGGATCTCATTATCATGTATGTACACAAGTATTTATTAATGTTGTACCAACATTTATAAGCGAAACACATCCATGTATTGATTCTATTGATTCAGTCATTGTTGTTTTATAGTGACAAAACAACAGTAAAACATCAAGAGACAAAAGAACTTTTCAGTAACACCAGTAACCTTTTGTAGAGTAACTTAGATGACAAAAAATATAATTATATGTTTGCAGGAGGTTTGAGTGGTCAAGGTCTAATTAGCCTATAAGCTCTGCTTTCACAATTTGGTTAAGGATTAAAAACAAGTTTTATACATCAAGATCATACTCAAAGCAAGTGTAGGGAATACAACAAAAAACAACACAATAAATCACTCAATACAGGTATATATACTGTTACTGAGTACAGTATCATTATGTAGTGTTTAGAATTCATAAAAAGCAAGAATTCTTTATTTGACATAAAACAAAAACTAGTAGGTGATTTTAAAGCCTCCGTTTTACAGAGTGTGATATATTTATCAGGGTTATTTTTTTCCCCCTTATTTTCAATATAAATACACACAGCCACAGAACCACATATTTTCTCTAAACCAAGTTAACAAAACAAATCACAGCAGGTATGACACTATAAAACAGCCAGTCAGGGCAAGTCAGGTAGAAGGAAGTCCAATCCAGAGGGATCCATGAATCGGCTATTCTATTCAGCTTTCAATATATCAAAACAAAATATAACAAAGGATACCATCTCCATAGTAGGCCTACATAAAATATGAGCAGTTGTTTTTTGGGAATCCTGTTGTGTTGTTTTCATAATTTTGTACAAGTTCATCGAAGTAAACGGGTAATTTCTCATTCAAACACACTGTCAGTGAAACAAAGAGCGGTATTAAGAAACTGTTCGTGTAGCAGCACGGTGTTTCATCTATTATTTCTCTGTGTCAATGATTCATAGCTGCTCTCACTGTTCAGCTTTTATTGGGGCACTTCCCCTTTAAGAGAGCCATGGCAGCTCTCAAGTCGAGGCAGACATTTTTCAATGCAAGATTTTTTCCTTGCATAAATTATGTTCATGACGTAGTGCAAAAGGCCAATTTTGTGGCAATTTTGTCCGACTTTACAGCTGAAATAGGATTTTGTGAGACACCTCGAGGATTTTTGATTATCTGAACTGTTGCAGAAAGGCCATCGTCATTAAATATTAAGAGAGAGGAGATCCTAACATTGCAACCCTCCTTATCAATGCAAATACCTCTTTTGTGTGCAGTCACAGCGCCTGTCTGGGAGCTGAGATGAATTTTTAATTATGTGTGACTGAAACAAACTGTGACAAGGACCTTTATAAGAGCGGGGGATTACAGCGAATAAGCTGCATTTACGCGGTAAGTTGAATATAATAACCGGACTCTATTCGAGCCTGCTCCTCGCGCATAGCAGCGAAATGGCGAGAGGAAATGAGTTTTGGTTAATATGCAATGTTCGTAATTAGCATAATTTATATATTTATGATAAAGAGAGGGAAATACATAATATTCGGTCTCTAGGCACGGGTCGAGATGATTTCTGTCGCCTGTACTTGGTGGTTAGTGCTTGTCTTCAAAAGTGGCCGACGCGGCGAGACTTTTATTGGCCGGGATGGGGGTGGGGAGCCCATCAACACCCGCTGAAGTTTTGACAGATCCTCATTTCTAACGGGGCATTGCAGCAGGAAAGTCGTCCTCTGGAATCTTTTTTTGATCTATGATGAATTTGTAACCACTTTATGTCCACGATCAGCGTGTTTCATGCCGCTTTCTGCAGCTAAAGTGCAACACAGTATGGCCTGTTTATAGGCCCCTCCAAATAGTCTGGTCCTGCAATGACAGAAATAGCCATGAATAAAAAACAGTCCTCTGCATGTGGGTCTGGGTCTGTAACCAGCATTTGCCCCCTGTAGTGCGGATACTACGGGCTTACAGGGGTCACCAACATGAAAATTTATAAGTTTTAATGCCTGAAATAGCTGCAAAACATATTAAGAAGGACCTTAAAGACTTTTTTGTTTGATCTGTGTGTGTTTTGCTCAGAATGCCAGGAAGACTGTGACTGTGGTGGTGCAGCGAGCCATGAACTCCCAGGATCTCCCTGCCAAAGATGCCCCGCTTACTGTCAATGAGCAGGTAACACTCACCTGTCTGAACAGTGACAGGCCCTCTCTTCTTGCAGTAGCCACACAGAGCTTAGCCGAACCCTCATAACTTATGTTGTCTTCAAGTTCTGTGCTGCTGTTTGCTCCTGTCACCCTCCATGTGCCAGCATATCATATCATAACGGAATGATTAACTTCCACACAGCAGTTCATTGAGATCAGGAGCCACTTTTGTGTTTGATCGCCTAATAATTCCTGCTGCTCTATGCTTGTGAGTTATCAGTCTTTAAACTGCCATGCTTAATAATTAATTGTGTTTTTTCCTCTCTTTAGTAACATTCTGTGTACATAGACATAGTCAGCAAACAAAAGCAATGCTCTTCACAGAGGGGATATTGAAAGCATTGCTTGAGCTGCTTGTTGGCTGATGCTCTTATCATTGTTTTGTTGTACTCATGCTCTTTTCATTTTCATTTTTTTTTTTTTTTTTTTTTTAGTATTGTTTTTTTTTTGTTTTTGGTCATTGTGTCCTAATATGTGCTTGGCTTCTCTGTTCTCCTTAGCCATTCACTGTCTGACTGCAGAAGTCTTTTTTCAGCCATTTAAATCCTGCACTTTGAAATTCCCTGCCAAAGACAACCAGGTATGCATCCTCCTCTCTCTTCCTGCATTGTCTCTCTGCACTTTGTCTTCCAGCCCAGGTTGTCTTGCTGCCTCTCCTCTAGGTCTTTCCTTATTGCATACCATAAGTCACTGGTTGAGTCAAAAAGGGGATTCACTACATGTAGTTAGACAGTAAATCGATGAGGGGGATAAATACTAAATTCAGGCTTTCTTTTGTGACCCTTCAGATACTAGATGAAGTGAGACTTTTACCATATTTATCTATTATGATAAAAAAAATTCACAAAAGAAGTGCAATAGAGTTGGCAGATCCTTGTACGTTTGAGTCATCTCAGCTTTTATTCCCGATCACTGCGCAGGTCATTGTGATGTCTGGCCATGAGACTATTCGAGTGCTAGAGGTAGAGGTCGATGCGTCTCTGCCGTCATCAGTAAACGATGGGAAGAGTGAAGGCAAAGCTGAGGAGGGAGTGGCTCAGGCGGCGGAGCAACCGGAAGGCGGCAGCACCCAGGACAGCCCCACTGTGCCCCAGAGCACAGGGGGAATAGGTAAATCAAGCCCTTGCTAGATGAAAAAGGATAGATGACGACTTTTTATTATTCATATGCACATGACACAGATGTACTGAAATGCCAATGACAGCTGTGAAAACCACTTGAAATGTCAGTAAGAACCAACGTTAGCTGTGCTCCTGCAGTGCTGGGTGAGCAGCAGGTGGTGTCTGTAGAGGCTCCGGTCCCCGCTGTCCAAACGCTGACTCCTGCTGTTCCCATCAGTGTGTCCATGCCGCAGCCCCAGGCCACCATGCCCATCACTGTACAAGGCTGTCCACAGGTATGAATTTACACACCAAGCACTCTTTCCATATTCATCTTTTGTCATTAGAGAAAGAATATTGTAGTAAATAGTTTTCTTGACCTAAAACAAGGTGTTTGGTGTACACTGGCCTTGAAAGTTCAGTGTGAAATGACAAGTGATGAGGGCAAAAGAAAAAAAGCCTTATTTGCATTTCACCCTGTTCACATATAATTTCTTGTCCAATATTCATGTGTCAGAGGGATTAATGTCACTATTGTCACCCACAGGCGAGTGTGGGTGATTTAGTGAAGTCACTGACTGTGGCAGTTGCCTCCAGTACATTGTGAATGTGAAAAATGGAACAAATTTGATCCCAAACACCTGAACACCTGGCCTGAGGCTGTAGAAAAAAATTGGAGTGAATTCGAACCAATACGTACCACGGCAACAACAAAAATAAAACACCAAATATCGTGAAAAAACAAAAGAAATTCAGTACTGCAGCAGAGGAAGATGGATTATCTGAGTCCAAAGGCAAAGAAAATTTTATTACTGCTACTATTTAGTTTAGTAAAATTACCCCTGTAAAACACCAGAATGATAGTAAAAACAGATAAAGGACGTATACGAACCCTCTGAGAAAAACATTGCTCACTCCAGTCACAAATGCTGATTGAAAGCAAATCTTTTACTTCTCAACATCAGGTGCTGACCCAGGAAAGTCTGGCCACGTTGATGACCGGTATGATGGCCCAGACAGGGTCGCTGGGCCAACCCCTACTCATCCCCCTGAGTATGGCGGGCTCCATCGGTGGCCAGGGCAGTCTGGCTGTTCTCACCCTCCCCACCACCAATGTTGCTACTCTCCCTGGGCTTGCAGCAGCTAACTCAGCCGGAAACCTCCTCAAGCTGCCCTTTGCTGGCCTCCAAGGTAAAATACAAACTGTCCCTGCATGTGTGCTGCCCATTTGGCCTCTCTTATCCAGATTGTGTTAAAATGTAAGTCTGGCTACATCACCGCTGACATCTCACTTCAAAAGCGCTATAGAACGGCCCACACACATCATTTCCTCCTGAGGTGTAACACATCAACGTGGCGTGGCTCTAGGGATGGCGACGTCTGTCGGTCAGTCAGTCCACCACTTCCTTCCTGTCCTCTTGTCTACACCACGTTCACATTTGTGGTTTTAAGTGAAATCCACTATCGGAGATGTCATCGAATTTGGTAGAAACATACATGTCTACCTAATGGATGACTTGTAATAACTTTGGTTATAATAACTTTTCATTTAATATTTTGATTTATGATCAAATACCTACAAAATATTGACATTCCCATCACACTACTTTGTGTTTAGTAGAAATTAGCAAATGCTAGCATGTTAACCCACTACCCAGCATAGTGAACATTGTAAACCACGGTAAACCATGTCAACCATGACGTCCCCCTGACGTTATAGGAGGCCTGTAAGGAGCCTCACAGAGCTGCTAGTGTGGCTATGAACTCTTAGTCTTGTCATCATGTTTTAGTCAGTTTTCTCACATTAAACGTTATCTCAACTAATAGATTGCATACACTTGAATTTTCCTTCAGCTGCCACAGTCTTGAACTCAGTCCAGCCCCAGCTGCAGACAAATGCACAGACAGTGTTCCAGCCTCAAGCAGCCTCCATGCAGTCAGTCCAGGCTGCTGTGCAGCAGGTGACGTCTCAGCCAACGCAGGTGACCAATGCCCAGGCTACTGCAGCTCAGATGGCAGCAGCCCAGGCGACCACGGCCTCAACCACCATGTCTCAGTCCAACATATCTGTGGCAGCACTGCAGACTGCAGGACTCTCCCTCAATCCTGCTATTGTAAGAATGCCAGCGTGTAGTCACCTCTGTACTGTTAACATCTGGCTTATGAGTCATGTAATTTCATTTTGCTGTGTTCTGTGATTTATTTTTTGCACAGATCAATGCTGCTTCATTGGGTGCACAGCCCCAGTTCCTCAGTTCCCTTGCCTCCACTCCCATCATCACCAGTGCCATGTCCAACATGGCTGGCATCACCAGCCAGATCATCACAAATGCCCAGGGACAGGTCGGTGCTATAAAAAAACTGCTATTGCAACTGCTGCTCAGTTTCTATTCTATTCTATTCTTTTCTATTCTATTATTTAAAAAGTAAGTCCGAAAAATGTGAACGCTATAAGAACAAGTAATTCCCAAACTAACATGCTCCCCTTACATAGTGCCATTTAGGTTTTTTCAAGTTTTCATACTGATGTGTTTTGATTGCTAATCACACCCTCTCCAAGAACAATCAGAATGTTGTGTTTCTGTTTCTGGGAATAAAGGCTCCAGCCTCCAGTTAACATCAATCAGCAGTGCTATTTCAAGTCAGTGGAGCATAAGACAATTTCTGTGAAAACTGATTTGTCCTCTCAAACACTTCCATTACTCAGTCTTTCCATTATTGCAGCTCATTGCAGTTAGTAGTGCAGTGTTTAATCTTGAAAGACATGATTTTTATTCCAAGTAAAGTGCTAACAGGACATTCTTATTTTCCAGAAGCAAAAACACTGCTATGACAGGCTGTCGAATGTCCTGAGAGCGAAAACTATCACAGATGGTTCCGTTTCAATTATTTGTATGTATTTCTCCAAAATTCAAACAATATTTACAGGTTATAGGAACCCTCCCGCTGTTGGTGAACCCGGCCTCTCTGGCTGGAGGGGCTGCAACTCCCACCCTGCCCCTCCAGGGTCTCCAGGTCCAGACTGTCACCCCACAGCTGCTTCTCAACACCCAGGGACAGATCATTGCCACTGTAGGAAATGGACCTGCCACAGTTGTGACTTCTGCTGCAGTTCTGCCCAAAGCCGCTGCTCCTCCAACACTTACCAAGCCTAACACACAGGTACACACAAAAATCTGTCCGGACTTTGGAGTCAGAAAGGACTACTGCATTTATAAAATAGGTTACATCCAAGACTATTATTTATTTGTTCCCTCCCAGGCTTCGGTAACAAGTGTCACTCCGTCGCCAGTTGTAATCGCCCCGCAGCCGTCTGTACTGAAGACCGCCACCACGCTCTCTTCCACGGTACCCATCACCTGTGGAGACATAGCAAAAGTGGGCCAGCTTGTCAGCAGTATGTACACCTGCTTCTCCTATCCAAACATAGATCCGCTTTAAGTAGGTAGATATTTTTAACCAGACTCTTCACAATTGTAGAACCCCAGCAGGTAGTCAGCAGCGAGGAAGGCATTAATCTGGAGGAAATTCGAGAGTTTGCCAAGAATTTCAAGATCCGTCGGCTGTCCTTGGGGCTTACGCAGACACAAGTAGGGCAGGCTCTGACTGCAACTGAGGGTCCGGCTTACAGCCAGTCTGCCATTTGCAGGTAAATGACTCCCCTGTCCATGTTGCCTTACACAGAGAAGTGTTCTTCAGCAAACTCTTTACAAAGCATCATCAAGGACAGGGTGTGTACACTGCATTTGATATGTGCATACGTTGTCCACATTTGCATGCACACAAATTACAATTCTTATACTGTTCCAACATGAATGTAGTTAAGGCGCCCATGAAAAAAAAGTACTCATCTTCTTGTATTATGTTAGTGCAGTCATGCTTAGTGGAGTGAGTGCAACACTGACATTTTGTGTTATATTTGCAAAAAACTGTTGCAAGAAATCCTTAATGCATCAGTGTGAATACATTTTAATTGCATTAATTGCACTGTAATTGCTTTGGCTACTTTCTACATAAAAATAAGGAGGTCTGTGAGTAAAGATTTGAACAATTTCTGACATATGGTTTATATAGTTTATTCCCTAAATCAAAAATTACTTTAAATTAATTGTTTGACATTTTGGGAAATACCTTTATTTACTTTTTGGCAGAGCGCTAGATTAAAAGATAGATACCACTCTCATGTCTCCCCATTAAATATGCTGCTACAGCCACCAGCTGTTTGGCACAGCTTAGCGTAAAGACTGAAGGGAATCAGCCAGCCGGGCTCTGTGCAAAGGTAACAAAATCTGTCTGTCAGAATCTCGTATACTCGTATTTGCTTGGATTAAACAAACAAGACATAGCGTGGTAATTAGTGAAATTTGGAGGTGCTGGTAGGTGGATTCTGTTTCCGTCATACAGAGTTCAGCCCAGCTGTTTCCCCTGTTTCCAGGCGTTATGCTAAGCTACACTAACCACCTGCTGGCTGTAGCTTCATATTTAATGAACCATATTGATCCTCTCACCTGATCTCAGCAAGAACACCAAGCATATTCCTAAAATGTTAAATTAGTCCTTTAATGCAATCGATAACATTTGCACTGCTTAGGCTACATTTTACAGAAAAAGAGGCGTCTGTGAGTATAGATTTTAAGATTTCTCCAAAGTGGTATTTCAATATGAACAGCAATGGAGTCATTATTATATAGAGGTCAGTAATTACATTAAGTAAAATAATGAGATATTTGTCAGTAAGCTGGTTAAAGCTTGGACTGGTATATAAAATATCTAATTCACTTGCCTGCAAACTGGATCTATGTATACTATGTCTGTGTTCATAGGGATCAAATTGAGATACGGTGCCTATAGTGTACGCTCATGAAAAACTTCAGATTGAACTTTCTTTTGTACTGCAGGTTTGAAAAATTGGATATCACTCCCAAGAGCGCTCAGAAGCTAAAGCCCGTGTTGGAGAAGTGGCTGGCCGAAGCCGAGCACTGGAACCAGAAAGGCCAGCAGAATCTGATGGAGTTTGTTGGTGGTGAACCTTCCAAAAAACGCAAGCGGCGTACCAGTTTCACACCGCAGGCAATAGAGGTTCTCAACTCCTACTTTGAGAAGAATGCACTGCCAACAGGTCAAGAGATTACTGAGATTGCAAGAGAGCTAAACTATGACCGAGAGGTTGTGCGAGTATGGTTCTGCAACCGGCGACAGACGTTGAAAAACACAAGCAAAATCAACGTTTTCCAGGTTCAGTAGCGACGTCATTCTGGGAGAGTTTGCTACTGATCTTTTATCCTGTTGGGAAGCTGAACATTTAATACAATAACACAGATGTAGATAGTGTTGTAAATATGATTTAACCTCTGTAAAAGGCTGAAAGAATATGAATTTTTTGAGAAAATGATTGAAATACATGACTGAAATCTAATGAAAGAGAACTTAAAACGAATAATTATTGTGTTTTAAAGTTGTATATATGTACACTACTTCTGTGGTGGGTACTAAGTCAAATTGCATGGTCCTCTTCTCATATACAGTGATAATAACATGTCATATTTAAAAACGTTTGAACTTTTATACAAATGGTTTTATAGGGTAACCTTCTGAATTACTTTAAGCGGGCGAGCACTGAGTATTATTGAGTTTAATCATATTCATGTCACTTTGGCACAGTGGATGACAGTACGCTGATATTTGATATTTAGCTCCTCATTTACTTTATATTCAGATAATATTTGTACTGCATGAGCAGCTCTGCAAACATAAATTCTGACAGGAATAAATATGACTGTAGGCTATAAGTGGGCAATGACCTATAACCTTGTTTTCATCAGAAGTTGTTGTCTAAAGAAAACCAAAAATGACTTTGCCCTCTAACTACTCCTGACTCTGCAACAAGTATTTTGGGACAATCATCATTTTGATATTTGATTGATAATCATCAAGACAAAATCTGCAGTCATATTCTCTTGTTTGGCTTTATAATAAATTTATTAAATAATTTTATAAAAGTGTCACATGGAGAGGGTCATTTCTGATGTTCCATGGACAACAGGTTCTTATCAAAATAAAGCAGTAGCCCAGGCTGTTGCCCATGATGCCAACATATTACAGTTTTTAAAAAATAAAGTTTGTTTCATTTGTGAGTTACTGATCGTGCAAATACACATACTGTATGTGTGTTTGAATTCACAACAGTCTGTCCTCTTTTAACGCTTTCTGTTAAATGTGTTTATAATACTCTGAGAGTATTTTGTGTTTTCTCTGTTCACTGTTGTGACTTTTGCCCTTAATGGCTTGACAGTGCTGCTGTGACATTTTTTTCCTTTCAAGTTAAAGTATATTTCCAAAATAGGAGCTTAATTGGCCCATTATGAAGTCAACTTGAAATAGTCTCATGATGCCTGAAACGTTAGTGCCAGATTTTTTTTAGATACACTTACTAAGCCTAATATCAATCAAATTGATTAACTGAATTTCAAAAAAAGTAATTAACTGTTTAGTCAAGAAAATTAGGTTTTGTGGTTAAATGTGTTTTGAAAATTCATTATGAATGAGTTAAAGGAGTGTTTGCATGTGAAGTCTGGAGTTGTTATATTTAGGAAATATACTGTGGCAGTTTTCTTTATCGTTGCCAATTCTTCAAGAATTCTTTGCACTTTAGTGACAGCTGAGAAAGTTAAAGGGTTACGAATGCTATATGTACGGTGCAAGGTTTCTGTTACGTTTGTAAAAGAATTTAATTCATTGTAAAGTTTTTGAACAGCAAGAAGCTTTGCTTTCCAAAATGTAGCAGTACTGGCAAAATTGCAATAATCAACTTGACAAGCAACATCTATCATTAAGATTAATGTACTTTTTATGCAGATGAAATGTAAAATACTGCAGATTAATTATAAACTAATATACATTATTATTCACATATCTAAATTATTTTATTTGACAATTGTGAATGATATGTTGAATGGGGCATTTTATTTTCCACCTCATATTTACCTTTTGAATAACAGTAGGCCTACATTGCAGTGGACATACAGTATGTCTAACCATAAAAAATAATATTACAAAGGTCTTGCTTTAACATGTGTTTTACCTTCATGTTAAATATGGGAAGACAATATATATAATATTGTTTATTATAGTAAGATGTCAATAGAGAAAAGAAGAGCTAAATTAGAATAATAAGATATCAACCATTAGTTTTTTTGACTGCAAAGCACACAAAGGGTTCAGGTCTTAGTGAGACAAGGGAAAAACTAAAGTTGGTTGCTTTTTGTCATTTCTGTCAGATAAATCAAATAAAACCTGTCTTTATTAATCACTCCTTATTGTTATGTATTGATATATTTTCTGTCTTTGCATTGGCTGTAGTTAGATAGTAACGACTGACCTCCACAACAGGGACTGAAAAAATTGGTTCTTTTTACAAGTACAATATCTCTTCTAATCATGGCTGGATTAACTTCCTTTTGACCCCCACTGTACATGAAACTTTAATTATTTTCCCAAACATGGGAAACAACATTTTAACACAATGAAATTGCTTGCAACAGTTAACAGCTAAAAACCAAAAATGTTGAGTTTAAGAAAATTTTAAGAAAACTGGGAAAACTGGCAGTGGGCGCTGGGCGGCGGCAATGATCCCTAAAGTACATTACTTGAACTGTAAAATAACAACACGAAGAAGAAAACGAAACGGAAATTACGGCAGCTCCTTTTCCTGACCGAACTAGATAAACAAACAAAAGCAAGACATTATATTGCATATATTTGGGAACCAGAGATAGTGTTTATGCATTTTTATTTATAAATATGTCTGCCAGGAATAATCCATCCCCCTGAATCCCCAATAACGGAGGCTTAGAAGGGCTAGCATCCTACTGGCCAAGTTCGCTGGCAGGCTACGTCGCTAGCTAAGTGTTTAGCTCGACATGTTTATTTTAGTGCTGAGACGAAGGAGCGCGACATGATGGCACGAAACTGTCGCAGTGTCAGCAAGTAGCTACACGCATCTCACTTGAAGGTAAGATTTGTGTCTTTAATTAGATTATGAAACTAAATGAAAAGAAGTAAAGTCTAAAAATATTGTAGCTTACCACAAGTTGTTTGGATCTCAGCAGTGCTGCGGTGCACGGTTGCATAAAACATGTGCAGAGTACCGTTAACTCACCCTTAACCTCAGGAGCTCTGCATTGCTCAGAATAGTTGCCATTTACTAACTATTGCACACGCTGCTAATTTGATCACACGCATTGTTTTTTGTGGATCTTTTCCTCGATCAACTGTTCAGATATCGCTGTATGTTCACGGGGTGTAGAGTTGGAGCCAAACTTGACGATAATAAACTTATTATTATCACTTTCTCCACTAAAGATCGGAAGGCTGTGGGACGCAGGTATAAAACCTGGCTTAAGTTTTAACCAGAACTGCACTCCGTAAGAACTCCACATCGCCACCACCATGGCGTGGGCTCTGAAGTTACCTCTCACGGATGAAGTGATCGAGTCCGGACTGGTCCAGGACTTTGATGCCAGTCTCTCGGGCATTGGCCAGGAGCTTGGTGCTGGGGCATACAGCATGAGGTACAGTACAAGTTTTAAACGGGTTGAATCTTCTGTCTTAAGTGCACTGCTGTTGTTGCTACCGAAACATGCCATCTGATTTGTGACTGCATTGTATGTACCATATGTTCTATATTTGTTTTATTTGGGGACATAATGATTGATATAAACAGTGACGGTAAGGGTGCTCTCACAGGGATGCCTCCTTCAGTTGTCACTTTCTAAAGTTAGTGAAACTGTATTACCTGCTTAAGCTTAAGTGTTGGCAGTGTGTGTTTTCACTTGTCCCAGAACTTTTAACAGCGTGTGATTATATTATTATTGTGATGATACAATTATAGGAGTAATCGAATTGTTGATCAACAGAAAATTAATTTGCAACTAGGGTATTTTCTAATCTGTTGTTTCAGTTATTTTTCAGACAAAAATGCCCAAAATTCACTGGTTTCAGTTGCTCAAAACAGAACATTTGTTGCTTTTTATGTCTTAATAGTATAGTAAACCGAATTGATTTATAACTTTTTGCCAGACAAAACAAAGCGTTTGATGATATTACCTTGGTCTTTGGAAAACTGGGATGTGTGTTTTTTTGCTAATTCATTTACCAATCAAGTAGATTGATCAATTAATGGAAAAAATAAATTCAAGATTAATCAACAGTAAAAATAATGGTTAGATAGATTTTATGATCTCACTTTGTAGTCTGTCTCTCATGTTCTTTAGTATCAACAGTATTGTTCTATATCCGATCTCAAAACATTCACAGAACATGTTTTATTGTGTGACAGGTTGGGGATTTTTAATGAGGGTATTTGGTAGTTTTTAAAGACTTCTCTGTACAAATCAGCTTTATTAGTCTGCAGTGTTTCACATTTTCTCTAATTGTCTCACCAGTTTGCAGTCTGAGCAGAGAAATCTCTTCACATTTTGAATTTGTACATGAATATGTGAAGTCCTGTACTGAAAGATAGCAGAGGAGCAAATTAATTCCCACATACAAATGAATTTCAATGCATTACACTGCTTGGTGACAGTCAGATGAAGAATACTCTTTGATGAAATGTGATTGAAGAATTAGACTTTTCCTATCAATGATGCAACCAAGTTCTGAATCACTGAGGGTGAATATCTGCACACAGTTCTGTGGCGTTTAATTGGTGACGTCTTATTCAAGAGTTTAAAGTCCAGATAGATTTTTAAGATATTTCCGCTCAGTTTTTCATGATGGAAATTTTGTGAGATCCATTTAGGATTTGCTGACTCAAGCACTTGGCTCTGCTGGAGAAAGATCACTCTCTTTTGTGTCCTTTTCTGGCTGGTTAAGTGCTCTGTTATATGATACTGTACGAGCTGCAAAGTGCCTGCTTGTTCCCTGAAATTCTTTTGTTGAGAGGAGCAATGAGATACTGATTGGATACCTTGGTATTTAGTGACGTTGCCCAAATCACCACCATTATAATTAATAAACCGGAAAGCTGGCAAACACAATAACCTGCCATTCAGCCTCAAGTGTTTTCTGGTGATGGTAGATTGTGTTAGATTCTCAATATGATTTAACATTATTTTCATCATGAGATTGAAAATAATCAGTTCCAACAAGTAAATATGAATCGTTATTTTCTGTAGATTTGTTTTATGAAAAGGCAGTAATGGATGTGTCTCACAGTGAGGTGATCAGGCGTTGGCAGCTTTCTGACAGCTTTGTTCTTTTGTCTCTGTTCTCCAGCGATGTACTTGCCCTCCCCATCTTCAAGCAAGAGGAGTCCAACCTGCCTCCAGACTCTGAAAACAAGATCCTTCCCTTCCAGTATGTTCTGTGTGCAGCTACCTCGCCAGCCGTTAAACTGCATGATGAAACACTCACCTACCTCAACCAAGGTCAGCGTCCAGATCCCAGCCACAGTGTACTGTTTCAGCTTTGTGTAAATTTATTGAGATCTAAGTTAAAATCCACTGAAATTCAGTTCTTGCATTTTATTACCTGGATGACTGTAAATCTTCTGATATCTTGCATTAGAGGTGGAGAGAAACAATCACTGTGGTAATATATTATAGTATGGTCTACAAGGGTATGTTTTTGATAATGATTAATTTTAATTTTTGATATGATTTTGCATTATTGGAATTAGTATGACTACAATTGAGATATCAACTGTGGATGTTTGGTGTTTTGTGACAGCCTGGTAGGAACTGAGAGCCATTTATTTACTGTGCGGACTTGTCATTCCAGGGCAGTCCTATGAAATTAGAATGCTTGACAATCGGAAAATTGGGGAACTTCCGGAAATCACTGGTAAAATGGTGAAGGTAAGATTCTGACGTGACATTTCACACAAACATAACTGTATATTTGCACAGGTCAGTGTCTGCCATGTGAAACTAGTATTAAAGTGTTTGAATAGTATGTATATCTCCCTTATATCTCCCTTTGTAAAAAACGAATTTCTCTGAATTTCAGAGCATTATTCGCGTGGTGTTTCATGACCGACGACTTCAGTACACAGAGCACCAGCAGCTGGAAGGCTGGCGCTGGAACAGGCCCGGGGATCGCATCCTCGACCTCGGTGAGCACTGAATGAAACATGACTGTTCTACTTTAAGGTTCTAGACGTTCTGGTTCTTCTCTATTATGTGGGATTTGTGTGTGGAAACAATGTTCCTGTACAGCCTTGTGTGTATATTAACCCACCAAAAATTTTCATATAAAATCATCAATTCAGGATATTGATTGTTAAAGTGAATTAAAAACTCTTTTGATAACAGCCTGTTTTGCATTGATCCATTGCAGATATCCCCATGTCAGTCGGCATAATCGACCCCAGGGCTAACCCTACTCAGCTAAACACTGTGGAGTTCCTTTGGGACCCATCAAAAAGAACCTCAGTTTTTATCCAGGTAGCATGATGGACAACACTGTTGTTTCCCTGAATTACTTTCATTCATTAAAAGCAATGGCAGTAATCTCAGGCAGCACTTTGACATTATAGCGCTAAGCTTGTTAACATTTAGTGTACTAATCAATACTGTTTGGCAAAATAGCAAGTAAACTGAATGTTATTCTACAGGCAGTAATTACTAATGCAACAATTTTTGCAAATATTTATTGATTGATTGATTCCACAGACCTAAGTTTTTATTTTATGTCATCGTTCCCATATAGATTTTACTTTTATATCCCTTTTCTTTTTTTTTTTAGGTTCACTGCATCAGCACAGAATTCACCATGCGTAAACACGGAGGAGAGAAGGGCGTGCCTTTCCGTATCCAGATCGACACGTTTAAAGAGAATGAGAGTGGAGAGTACACAGAACACCTCCACTCTGCCTCCTGCCAGGTCAAAGTCTTCAAGGTGAGCGGACCGACAAACATTTGTTGCTTTGGTCTCTGGTTGTGTTGTTCATGGTCACCACCTTAATGACCCCCCACATGACCTGTTTCAGCCCAAAGGTGCAGACAGAAAGCAGAAGACGGACAGGGAGAAGATGGAGAAGAGGGCACCACAGGAAAAGGAAAAGTACCAGCCATCCTATGAAACTACAATCCTGACAGAGGTTAGCATATACTAACGGTCCAAAACCAAAGATGTTCACTTTATACTGATATTAAAGGGAGAAAAGCAACAAATCCTCACAAAGAAAAGCTTTAACCAGAGACTGTTTTCTTGAGAAACAACAAATGATGAATCCTTTATTGAAACAGTCGACGGTTAATGTTATGTCTGTCACCAAATTGATTAAACAGCTTGTCATTTTAGCGTAAATTCAGATTATTATGTAAAACTAGGAAATAACAGACTAAACTGTGTGGATAAAAGTATGGGGTAGCTGCAGCTTATAAATGGTTGCAGAATGAATGTATTTCTGAGGTTATTTAGATGCCACAGTAACAAAAGTGTTGGTCTTTTGCAGTGCTCTCCCTGGCCTGAGGCTACATACGTCAACAACTCTCCATCTCCTGGCTTTAACAGCACACACAATAGCTTCCCAGTTGCAGAAGGGTATGAGTGTTGCACAGTTTCTACCAATGCTTCACAATTGATGCTACTTGCAGCTTGTGTTCTGTGTGTAGTTAGCGAGGAGCACACGTGACGTGTAGATTGTTCTTAATGTAGATAACCATGAGACTTTGAGAATTCTTCTTGGATTCCAACATGGTTAAATTTTCCTTTTTTAGAAATGGATCACCAAACCACCAGCCGGAGCCTGTCGTTCAGGTAGTAGATGTAAGTACAAGTGTCTTTTCACTTTCTGGATTTACATTACTGTCTGACGGCCTCCTGCCTCACTGAACCACTGCATATTAATATTCACAGCTGGCATCTAGGTGTTAAACATCTGCCCTCCATTCAGCAACGCACTTTGAAAACATAAACAAAAATCAGCCTAACCTGTGTCATGGTGTGATTGAAAGCATTTTGATAGTGAAAATGAAAAATACAAGTTCATCTCCCCGTGAAGGCATGATACTGAAACTCTCTTCTGTGCATTACAGGAAATGATTCAATGCTTCTATGAAAAACCTGATGTAAGAATATTTAATTCCGCACTCACTGTATATTTAGGCAGCTGTGTAGCTGATATGTTATGCTTAGCCACATACACCCATTGAAAATGAAGGGAGGGGGAAGTAACTGAAGAAGAATTAATAAAGATGAATAAACCTCTGTGTAAATTAATTTGTTGCATATTTTTTACCCACTAATAAATTAACTTGAGGTTAAATAGGTTGAAAAGGTTAAATAGTCAATTTTAGGCTAATTTATGTCGAGAGTGCAATTACTGTGCTGCTCAGTTGATGCAGAATACCATTTCAGCTTCTGTCTTTAAAACAGACTTTTGGAAATTATTTGTTTCTGTCTATTTGTAAAACGTAGACTTTTGAAAAATCCCTATATTTTGAAGCAAAAGAATGAGGCCTCGGTCAAATCTAACATCTTTTATTTTTGGGTGTGTGTGTATACTTTCTTTTGATGTTGTGTTTGAGCTTAAGACATAGTGATGAAGTAGCCATAAAAAAACAAGCAGTAAGCTGACCTGACTTCTGTGAGCAAACTCTGAGTGAGATTGTTGCTGTTCTGTGTGTTGACCCACGTTCTGTCTTGTTTGGTTTTTTTTTTTTCTCAGAATTTGTTACCCACAGCAACACCACAGGATGCACAACAGTGGCTTCATAGAAACCGCTTCTCACCCTTCTGTCGGCTCTTCACTAACTTCTCAGGTAAAATGGCCCCTGCAGACAGAATTGTGGCAAATTATACAGATAACAACCATTTATTTTAGTGTAGTGTCACTTAGAGCTGCCCGTGCCACGGATGCCTAAAATACAGAGAAGAAATCTGTTGTATCTTAGTGGCTGCAGGGTAACGTAGAGTGAAAAAAGAATCAAATTACCAAAAGTGTCCTTAAGCATTGCTGAAAAATCACTGCCAGCACCTTGAACTGTGGCCTGTAGCTGACCTTGTATGGTGACCTCTCTGAGGACAGGTCAAGCGAAAAGACTGTTCCTTTACAAGCAGCATTTGCTACACATATGAACTGTTGGATATCCCCAAAACAAAATTGTTGTGTATTTCAGGTTCACAGGTAGAGGGAGGGGTTTTAGGATTTTAAGCCAAGTCTTGTTTCTGTGTACCAGGGGCAGACCTGTTGAAGCTGACCAGGGAGGATGTCATTCAGATCTGTGGGCCAGCAGATGGTATAAGACTCTTCAATGCACTAAAGGGACGGTGGGTCTTCTGTTATGTAATCCTACCTGAAAACATGTACTTTATCTAATTATATCAAGAAGAGGCTCCACACATTTCTGGATATTTTGTGATTTATTTATTTATTTATTTTTCTCTGTGTGGATGTTGTTTTTACAGTGTGGTACGTCCAAGGCTGACCATCTACGTTTGCCAGGAGTCTCAGCAGGCACGGGAACAGCAACCGAAACATGAAAACGGAGATGCTGCCGCCAACACTTTCTTTGGTGAGTCCATGTTTGTTTGTTCATGTTCATGTTTGTTTTAGAAAAGAGCAAAAAGTATTTGAATTCCACTACACTGATGGGCGCAGCTAGGAGGCATTGTTAGGCATGTCACAGTATCATTACAGTGTATTAACGACTATAAAACCGGTAATCCTCAAATACTATTTTTAAAGTTTTGGCAACATGCTTGGTGATATGCAGCCATTGCTGTAACAGTTGCTGTACTGTACGTCCCAGTCACCACTTGGCAAAGGAACCATGTTGCCAGTACTGAATCTATTTCTGCTGACATTTAAAGGAATAGTTTTGACATTTTGAGAATTACACCTATCTGCTGTCTTGCTAAGTTAATAAAAAGACCAGGCCTATACCCATGTCAGTGTGATATATTTGAATTGTGATGATAATTCCTGGAGCCCTGTTGTCACTGTGAGGTTGTCAGGGAACCAGCGGAGCTTAGTCACTGCACCTGCATAGATCTAGCCCTGCGTATAACTCCTGTGCAACCATAATTTGATGTTTTTACACTTAATAATAATAAAAATAATAATAATTATAAACAAAATATACAGCATGTTCATTGGTGAGCTTTAGGAGGTGCTGGTAGGTGGGTTTCGTTACGCTTTGATGCAGCAACGCTAGCCTTTTCCCATGTTAAGCTAACCGGCTGCTGGTTGTAGCTTCATATTTACTGTACAGACATGAGAGTTGAACTTTCATCTGACTCCCAGGAAGAAAGTGAATAAACATATTTTCCAAACGTTGGAACTATTTCTTGTAAGTTCAAGTGCATCTGAAGGCTGCTGCTCATGCCTACTCCTCCGTCAGGTATGTGAGGCATGTTGCTCTTGGTGTAGCTTTAAAAGTAAAAACGAATCCCTTGCTGTGTGCAAGAGGACAAAGTTTATTTTAATACACAAACTACAGCCGTACAGTGTTTGCAATAGTTACAATTTTCCCTAAAAACTATAGTGTAATCATGAAACATACTTGCATTTTAAGATTTTACTATGTTGTAGTGTCGGGAAAAAAAAAAAAAGAATAGTTTTGATCGTGCCTGCCTTTCTGTCTGGATGCAGTATATCACGCCATCTACCTGGAGGAGCTCACAGCTGCTGAGCTCACAGAGAAGATCGCTCAGCTCTTCAACATCTCACCCAGACAGATAAACCAGATCTTTAAACAGGGTCCCACTGGCATTCATGTGCTTGTCAGTGATGAGGTAAGCTCATGTTTTTTTTTTTTGAATTAAAGCTACACTTTCAAATCACAGATGAGACCAATGTGAAACCAGTTGTCATTACACGTGTTAGTAAACAGCTTTAGCTTGTGCCCCTCCCACATTAACATGAGCTCTCTTTTTAACAGATGATTCAGAACTTCCAGGATGAAGTATGTTTTGTTTTGGACACAATGAAAGGTATACGAGCAACATTAATAAATAATGATGATTTATTTCTTTCTATATTTGGCACAGAGCCTTGATGAGCTTTATCATTGCAAGTTTATTTTTAAAACCTTCTGCAATGTTTTCTTTTCCTTTTCTTTCCAGATGACACAAATGATGGCTACCACATCATCTTGAAGTGAATACTGGGCAGGAGAATAGTGTAGCCCTTCTTTAGACCCGATCCAGTCAGCCCCTCTAAAGCTTCACGCTCCTCGACGTTCTTGGAATATGTGGCGATGCCCCCAAAACACCTTGAGGCTGCAAGGAGGAACATGCGACTGAAGCACCTGGCCCTCTCCTCACTATACCTTATTGTCTTACTTTTGAGGGAGTGACTCTGTTACCACAGTGAAGTAACATTCTCCTTCTCGCCCTGCCGTTGCCTCCCTTAAATGGTTGCATTTTCCTCTGTCGCTTGTGTCTCATGAAAGGGGTTAGTGGCACTACAGCTGCTATCACTGTTTATTTGTTTGCTGAACATCTGGTGTGCCAAAGCCCTGTGCTTCAGAATCAACAGTTTGTTGTCTCTTTAAAAAAAACAAAAAAACAACCAAAAATAGAAAAAAAAAAAAAAAAGTTACCATAAAGAGAGACAGTTATATTGACAGTACTTGACTTTCAGACTGCAATGCAGCATGATTCCTCATATTCATGCTAGGTTGCCTCACAGGATCCACTTTATGCCAGTCTGCAGGAAACATGGTATAGCTAACACAATCACACAGTCACATGAAATAACCACAGGAGACATCGAAATCAGCAATCAGGACATGAAGGGAAAATGTTGGAGTCCAGCTGTGCTTCTGTAATTCCTTTGAAAGCTAAGAATCTCAGTCTTTCACTGGTTTGTAATGTTACGTTTGAGAGAGAAAAAAAAAGTTTTTCCAGGCTCCCAAACACTGTTAGGTCCTCGTAGTTAGTGTAGAGAGCATACTGACACTCGTGGTTGGTACTTATGAATCTTGAAAGATGATGAAACACTGTCTTTATTAGTGATCACACCAGCAAACTGTCTCTGGTCCATGTGCTTCCTATCCCTATCAGCTTGTTTAGCAACATCTCTGTGGCCATTTCCCAAGGTTTTGTTTCGTTATTTTTTTAAGTAGATCATTCTTTTAAGATGCTTTCATGAAGAATCATGCTTTATGTTGGAAGTTTTTTTAAATACTTTGTTTTTTCTTTTTTTAAACTTGCATCTCTTCATCATTGTTTTTTGAATGTTACCACCTCCAAATACTAATACATGTAATGGGTTGTTGGACACACCAGAGCTGCATGTGAAAAGATATGGTTAGTTTATGTTCAGTCCATTGTACTGCTTACATGAAATTGATAGCTTGTCATTTTAGATATCCATCTTTGCCCGCATCTCATCAGCATTATTAAAGTACTTACCCATGTACCGGTCGCCATCGGTTCTCATAATTTTTGTAAAAATAAAAATGTGTTTTTTGGGGTTTTTTGTAACTTTATCCTGTATGTTTTGTAAGTCCCTAAGAAAGTGTTCACAGGTGACAAATAATTTTATTAATATTTGACACACAGCTTTCTCTTTGTTTGACAGATGTGGAGTCTTACTACGAACATGGACAGTCATTTTGTTGCTATGGAAACTAGGTTTTGACAAGCCAATAATAATCATCAACATGTTAAGATGCAGGTTCATGTTAAATACCATCAGTGTCATGATACATGTCAAATTTGGCACATCTGTTTCTGCTCAACATGAACAAAGAAGCGAAAGAAGAAGGGGAAAAAAAATTCACTCCATTTCCCATCATGCTCCGGCGCAGGCATTCTTGTGATGTCACAATAAGTATATATACGGCTACAGGGAAGAATTTCTTCCTCCATTGTTACATTGTAACAAACGGGGCCGGGGCGAAACGGGGGAGAAAGGCGTCTTCTCTTTAAGAGAATTTGCAACATTTTGACGAACCGGCCCAATATTCGCGTTAAATACGAGAAGACAGCGAAGTAAGCCCGACCGACTGAACCCGCCCCGGTGAGAAAAAGGATAAACGAACACAGATGTCAGCGGATTTCTCCATTGCAAGCATTTCAAGCCTCACATCAGGAAGATAAGACATTCGGCTGTCTACATTATTCATGTTTGCTCCGAAAATGTTGGGAAATAAATCGCAGCTAATCATATGACGTCCCTCTTCCTGCCGTCTGTCCTTTAAATAGATAGGCATGCAACATTTAAATAAAACCAGCAGGTCTGATAGGCAGCTCCTGTTTTCTGCGTGATCTTTCACTGTGCAGAACAATGAGCATGGAGCCTAAGTAGCCTAATATAGTCAGATATAAGTGTCTCAAATTGACAATCACGCAGGCTCTTAGCCAGATCACTTTGGGTTAGCATTGCTCCACGGTTGCAGTCTGGATACTCGGTTCAGGGAAATCGGTTTTTGGCACAAAAAAAGCATCTCGCAGGGCGTTGAAAGATTGATGTGCAGCTCGTACTGGAAAGAGAAACGACCTACGAGTTGGTTGGAATAAGGGTCCCTGTTTCTGCCCCAGGTAAGAGGGTTTAGTATTTCATTAACCGGGCGGTTTGCCATTGTGTGTGTGTGTGTGTGTGTGTGTGTGTGTGTGTGTGTGTGTGTGTTTCAAAAATGAAGAGAGCTAGTATACTAGAGAGAGAGAGAGAGAGAGGGCCTTTGCCTGTCAGACTGATAACATCCAACCTCCCCCAACACAGTCTGGTCAGTTGCTGCATGCACACAGTTAAACAAATACCTCATCCACACCTCATATGTCCCTGAAGGGAAATACACTACCAAGTCACAGTTGTCTTTAAACACACTGAGGCCTTCCACAATCCAACTAAGTCCTTAAAGGAACAGGAGGGTGACTTTGATTTTCTTAAGAGAAATGAGCTTACTATCAAAATTCAGCCTCAGCTCTATTTGCTCTATTTATATTTGAGTCCCAGTTGGAAAAATGGTTCACATCAGTATCTGCACTGAACCTTTAAGAAACTGCACTTGTTTGTCACAGCCTTTTAAGGGGTTAAATATAGTTGAGAACCTCATTCCCAAATAGCACCATAAAGGAAAAATCCACATTAAAGCTGAATCTCTGAGAGTTTTCAGTGATTTTGCTCTGTAACATCACAATCACAGACAACTACAGCATCTCCCCGACCACCGAGACATGAGATGATTAATGACACAACTTGGCTTCTAATTTTTCTTTGACATATTCCATCAAATTTGAATAGTTTTTGAACAGAAAGTGTCTTCATCTCCCAGTAAAATCACTATGGCTGCAGCAGTTGTTTCATTATTCACTGTCCACAGAGCAGGATTTGTCTCGATGTGACATCATCTCTCAGTTTAGCCAAAGGACAAACTGCATTGTTCAGTATTACAGAAATGTTAAACATCGGTCCTATCTGTTTGAGAACTTAAAAACCTAAATGGATAATGGTTCATTTGGAATTGTCCCATTTGGGAATGATGATTTGATATGTTGCTGTCTGCATCATGTGACATGTTAACCCCCGGCCCAGGTAAAATGAGCCTTATACAGATGTGGAGTTGCATAATAAACTAGTAATTACCTTGGGACGTCTCCTATTCATACTGCAGTGGATGCTAATATGAGAAGCTTAAGGCACAGTTTTGGACATGGACACACTGTCATAATGAAATAGCATCATGCATATTCATTTATTTGGATTGACTCTTGAAAATACTAAACTTTGTGAGATGCAGTTTGAACACAGACTTATAGGGCAGAACATGATATAACATAAGACATACATTCATCTGTTTCCATTCACCTTGTTTGACCTCTCCTGCTGATGTGATTGATGAGCTACAGCTTTCATATTCACTTATATTGACCCCCCCCCCACCTGCACTGTTTATAGCAGACTTAAGAGGAAAAACAAAAGGGATGTGAAGCCGTAGAGATCATTTGCTTCAAGGCTGTGCACATAAATCGTGCTTGCCTAGTTGCCATGGCGACGTTTCTAGACTTGATGATTTCAAAGTAGGATTTCATGTGAGATGGGGGGGAGCGGGAGGGGGGGGGGCAGAGAGAGGAAATGATGGAGCTGGAATACAGATGAAAGGAGACAGGACCAAACAGCTGATGTCACCTCTTGGTTTCGGTGTTAGTGTTGATAATGGAACAGTTTGACACAAATTATCCAGCTCTCTGATTGACAAGAACATTTTGTCTCTAAGGTAGTAAATAAACATTACACAGTGCTACAGACGTTATCCTCTCTGCCTGTTTCCTGATGCGGAGTTTGTTCTGTGTGGCTCGATGTGTGCTGCTCTCTGCCCTCAGACACCGAGTTTCCATGGAGGCAGGTTCGTCCCTCAGCCTCAAACGAAGATATGAAGAGGTGGACAACAGCTCTCCATTCTCTACACCTAAGGACTCTGACGATGACATCTCCAGCAGTGACAGCGCGGACAGCTGTGACAGCCTCAACCCCCCCTCCAGCACTGCATTTACCCGTAAGGAACAACAGAAGACACACATTAAAGGCAATACACTCTAAAACCCCACTCAAAACAGTTCATTAGAAAAAGCACTTTCAGTCATTACTCATGTATAACGTTGCACTCCGAATCTCTCCTCTTCTTTCCCACCTCAGCCACCTCCATCCTCAGACAGCACAAGCCGTCACCGGGGGGGAAGCGGGTACGTTTTGATGTGGTGACGGTGTATTACTTCCCCCGGCGGCAGGGCTTCACCAGCGTGCCCAGCCAAGGGGGCAGCTCCCTGGGCATGGCCCGCCACCACTCCTCCATCAGACACTACACGCTGGGCGAGTTTGCACGTGAACAGGAAACCAGCCACCGGCACACTTTACGCCAGCACCTGCGCCAAGAGAAACTCAACGCCCGCAAGATGAAGGTAAATCCTGACTTTTTATCTAAGACTGTGGGATTCATCAGTGGATTATAGGGGGTGGAAGGTAAATAGGTAATAATTCTAAAATGTTATACACCCTTGATTGAGTAGAAAATGTTTTTTTGACTGAGCCCTTTGTCCTGTTTTACATGTCACTTAAATTTATACTTTAGGGTAGATTCATTTTTTATTCTCACATGAAAACAGATCATGTCTCCATTTGCAGTGGTGGAAAGTAACTCAAGTGCTTAACTTAAATAAAATTGTATGTTATGTTCTGTCCTGCATTTATCCTTTCCTCAGTTTAAGATTGGACATAATCCTAATCTTTTTTCGTGACACCTGACAAAAAAAGCAGTGTCTAGTTGGGTCCCCATGTCATGTTTCAGATGTGTATGAGCTGTTCACAGTTCCACCAAAGACTGAGTTCCCCTCTAAACGTCTCAGATGGTTTCGTTTTGTTAACTGTTTGAGGCCCAAAGAGGTGAAACTCTCCCATATTCATCTGAAAAATCCCAAAACATCATTGTACAAATGTGTGTAGCGCATTTGTTTATTCTCCATTCCATTTATTATGATGATGACCTCTCCGATTCATCTTATGATGCTTTAAAGCTTAAACTAGTGAAATGTATATGAAGCAGTTAAAACTAGCTCCATCTTGATGAGCTACAGCCATAAAATGCAACAGTATTAACAATCTAAAAATATACACGCAGAAGTATATGTAAATCACATATTCTTTTTACCATAATCCCTTGAAAAGTTTCCGTATGAATTAAGCCAAAGATAAATCTGTTTTTGAAGTATCAGTCTTAAGGATAATTACCAACCACTTGAACTTGAAATAGAGAATCAGTCTCTTATTGTCCACAGCTCACAGTTTCTGCACTATCTGTCCTCCACAGCTGACAAGGAACGGCACAGTGGAGTGCGCTCAGGCCGACCTGCTGACTCTGGAGGACGTCTCAGATGAGGACCTCGATGTGGACGGGGTGGAGGTGGACGACTGTTTCTTCCTTCAGCCGCTGCCTACAAAGCGGCGTCGAGCCCTCCTGCGAGCCTCTGGCATCGCCCGCATAGATGCGCGGGAGAAAGCTGAGCTCAGGGCTATCCGCCTCTCACGGGAGGAGTGTGGCTGTGACTGCCGTTTGTACTGTGACCCCCGACACTGCGGATGCAGCCAGGCTGGCATTAAGTGCCAGGTAATGATTGTTGGCCCGTCTGTGTGGATGTGCAGAAAGATGAGAGCCAGTGTGCAGTTTGATGAGACTGAGAATGAGTCAGTCTGCTCTGCTCAATAAAATGTGCGCCTGGCTTTTCATACTTAAATCATTTTTAATTTGAAGTCGAATGTGTAAGCATTTACTTTCCCATAGGCCTTTTTCACCGAAGACAGTGGATCTGTCTTAGTAGGAAAAGCACAGGTGCACATAATATAAAGCAAAAATAAAATGAATGATCGCTGAATTGATTTTAGCTGCTTCAGTCTCATGCTGCATGCTCATTGCTTACTGGGATAATGGAGCCGTCATAAATTAGGTTAGTAACTCCTGTCAAAATGTCAGCTTTAAAAAAGGCCTAGTCATTAAATTGTGAGCAAATATTTTTGTTGAATTATGGCGTGACGTGATTTAACTCTAAATCACAGTTTGATTCAGTGCCTGGGCCAGCATTGTTTATCCATGAAGAAAACATTCAGTTATTCCAGTGAGACTGTCCTTACTGTTTGAAAAGATGTAAACAGATCACTGCGTCACCTTAAACTGTGGTTGCATAGAGAAATGCTCATGCAGAACTTCGCTGCAGTTTTGCCAGGTTTACAGATTGCATGTGTTTTGAAAAGTTGGATGTTTTAGTCTAGTTTCCCGGACTTGAACATAGTCACGCTCTCTGTCTTCCATTTGTTGAAACCCAGTGTCTGCACTGTAGTTTCCAGTGTGGACACTCAGAAAGGCTCCACTTGAAGAGAAATACCTAAAGAACCAAGAGTGCAGAGAAGTCATCATGACAGATTTTCAGTATTTCAATAAGATGTAATATGTAAGACATCATTAATTCTTTTTTGTTTTACAAATTGTGAATATTATAATCAGGCATTTCCATATGATACTTCAGTTTTTTACTGATCAGTGCTGTGAAATTATTGGAATTTAAAATCAATGCACTGATACAGTTGATACAATGAATGAGTTATTACAACATAATTTTTTTATAGACATAATTTCTCTTATTTCAGTTCATTGAAATAAGGTAAATAAATAAAACTGCTAAAGCTTCAAGACAAGACAGATTTTTTTTTCAGATCAACATTAAAATGATTTTATCTCTTTGTGCATGTGTTTATGTGCATCTGTATTGACAGTGAACGATCCTTATATTGATAAGAATTAGTAGCGTGTGTGAATGTGTATACATGTTGACTGTGAATTTCAAATAGAAATTAAATTATAACGAAACAAGTGTATTAAAACACTATTTAACATTTATTAACCAACATTAAAGGCTCAATGTGTTGTTGATGCTGGTCCATCTGTTATGTTATTTTCTGTTTTTTATTATAGACAGTATATGTGTTACATTTTCACCTGTGAGTTGAAAGTACACATCCGTCTCAACCTGACCTATTACACAGTAACCAGGTGTTGTCTTGGTCGCTCTGCTTTTTCTTTACTCGATCTCCTTGTCTCATCATATGCTGTGTCATCTGTCTAAGATGAACAACACTTATATAACTTACATAAGACTTATGCAAATGAGTCAGTTCTTCCTGTTGAAATAAAATAGAAAGTGAAATTGATTGTTACCTCTGCTTTCCTTCCCAGGTGGATCGAATGTCTTTCCCTTGTGGCTGCTCCAGAGACGGCTGCGGCAACGTAGCAGGTCGTATCGAGTTCAACCCTCTACGTGTGAGAACTCACTACCTGCACACCATCATGAAGCTGGACCTGGAGAAGAGGAGGATGCTCATCCAGGGGGCCGGGGACCAGTATGCTGAATCTGACCCGGTGTCCTCCCCCACTTCTACTTGCCCTACTTCTCCGGACCTGTCCTCTGTCACTGGCCTGGACTCTGAGCTAGAGGAGAGCGAGGTGCAGGCAGTCGTGGAGGTTCAGGATCTTCTGGCAGAGCAGGACATACTGGAGCGAGAGAACGAGACAGCTGTGTTGCATCTGCAGAGCGCAGAGGAGCAGGAGAGGAGGGAGAGGGAAGAAGCTGAAGGGGAGGCGGTGCAGCAGGAGCTGGGCACTGGAGGTCTCACAGAGCAGCCTCTCTGTCTTCTCCCGGGCGCTTTGGGAGGGGAGCTGCCCGAGCAGGCAGAGGTGCCAGGTGTGGAGCAGGTCCTGCTGCAGGGGCCATTCCCCACCGGGGCCACGGTGTTGTGCATCACTGACAACCAGGAGGAGAGCCCCTCTGACCTCCTTAGAGACTCCACTTCTCTGCTCTACTATCAGCTTAGTCCCATAGAGCCTGAAGCCTTTGAGACCCTGCCCAGAGCGGAGGAGGCTGAGCAGGAGGAGCGCTCGGTGAGAGAACAAGATGCAGGAGGAGGTGAGTGTGTGGAGGGGAAACAAGGAGGAGGAGGAGGAGGAAGAGGAGGAGGAAGAGGAGGAGGAGGAGGAGAGGAGTCGAAGAATGAAAAGCCTGAAAAGATCACCTGCAGGCAGAGTTTGGGCAAGTCTTTGACCAATGTGATTCTGTGCTCAGAGGAATGTGTGGCAGTAGTGGAGGAGAAGCCCTCGAGCTGTCAGCAGAGCCTCCCTGAAGAGCGGTGCCAAGGGGAGTCCTGCTCGGAGGAAGAAGCGAATCCACTGCCTCCTGAAGTTTAATTCTAGCTTCTCTGCAGATATTTTGCACAATAGCTTCATCTAAGATGAATAAATTACACATTTCACATTTATTACTGCTATCATCAAGGATGATTACAGGTTGCAATCTCTTGTAGTGACTGTCATTGAATTATGTGGAGAATGAGCTTGAGTATTACAGTACATGAGGGAGAGGGGAGATGCTGAAAGCACATACAGGTCACTCCCCAGGACTAATATGGGTGCAGTTACAAGGCAACATTGTACGTAATTCTGTTGGGGGGTGATGGATGCGGCCTTAATGGAAAAACATAACAACACTTGTGTGTAGGAGTCATTTGTGGATGAGAAGTACAGCAAGTAGTGCTTTGTTAATTCACAACACAGCAAACAGAAAACACAAATGTGTGAATGCTGACATAAGCCTTTTGTTCGGTGGTATATAAAGCTATCAACACTAACACAAATTGTTTTTGCAGTGCGCAAGGAGCCGGTGTGTTTAGCTACTCACTGGCTCAGTTTCCATTACAGTCTCCGTGCTGTAGTCAAGCCAAATGAAGGCCTCTGATAGTATCCTCCGCTGAAAAATAGACCTAATAATCCTGGAAATACTTGTTTTTGTGTACTGTATATGCATTTGCAATGTGCAAGACAGAGCCGACTCGAGGTTGCTGCTTTTTTTTTTTTTTTTTTTTTTTTTTTTTTTTTTTTTTGATCTGTATGCACATTGTGAACTTATGGGCGGTGAGTGTGGCTCTGCTGCACTGAGACATGAAGGTAAGGCAGCAGACTAGCACTGGCCTTAGTTGTTTGCTCTTGCTCACCTCGGGCTGCTCGTGCAAATGCAGTCGATTCGTCAAAAAAAAAAAAAAAAAAAAGGATTAAAAAAAAAGAAAGAATAGTTTACCTGTAGTTGCAATGCCTATGACATTATTTCTTTGAGTAATGTGTCTTTTGTGGATTAGATACTGTTGGTTTTGAAGTTATCACAGTCTTTGTTTTTATTTTGTTTCTGTTTTTTATTTTGTTGGGTGAAAGGAAATGTTATTTCTTTTCATACTGCTACACTGTAATGCCTTGTAGCCAGTCTTGTCACGTCATGATGAAATGCCAGAAGATAGATTTTTCCTAGTCCTCTTTTAATGAGTGGTTCTGTATGAGGAGGAGATGATCCTGAAATCAAGTGAAATTTCATATGAAGAAATCAGCATTTAAAGAGTCAAAGAAAACAACAACAGCCTGTGCTATTGAAAGTAGTTATACGAGATGATGTGATGTTACTAATTTATGGAACAGATTGACAACAACCTGAATTTGTATATTTTATGTTTAATCTGTATGTGTGTGTGTGTGTGTGTGTGTGTGTGTGTGTGTGTGCGCGCGTGTGTGCGTATGCGTGTGCGTGTGTGTCCGTGTGTATGCCAACTTTACATTTGTATGTCTGCGTTAGAGAAAAAGGTGTGTTTGCATCTGAGTGTGCATGTACATGTATATGTACTGTATTATGAAAAAGGGTGTAGCGGGTGGGGAGGGTATACTAGTGAGGATACATATGTTATTCCTGAAAGGTGCTGATGTTACAGATTTACAATTCACTGCTTTTTCTCCCAAACCATCATGAGAAATGTGATTAGAAGGAGCTGTTTCTCGATGACTGATGTTAAAGAAGTCAAAGGAGTTGGAGAGTGTCTTGTTAGGAAACGCAATAGAGCAACTGCACTGCAAATCATCTATGTGGCCATCACGGAATGAGTCGTTCTGTCGTCGAGTCTGTAAATGCAATCGTATTATAACATTTTCTGGTCTTTAAATGTCTTTTTTAAGCTACGTCTGATTGATACTGATCTGCATAAGTGTGCCGACTCTTCTTACACAAAATCAGTCCTTTGTTTTGTTGCCTAAAATTACAGCTGTTGCCTTTGGTAACGGCTCGCCTGACACAGGACGTGCTGCTGTGTATGAGATGTCTGATGTATTTCTTTGCCTTTTTTTAAATTTTTTTTTATTGTCTTAATATAAACCTGCTTAAGAGTTGCACCAAAGCAGTGGTTTCAAGCCTAATTAAACGATGCTTTCATCCATCAGATTTTAACAAAGCAGTCTCCTGTAGTTATTTTGCGAGGCTGTAGATTTATTGTGGCCCTTTGTGTTCGCGTGACTTTGCCTTGCAATAGTACCATCTTTGAAGTGATGATGATTACAAGCTGCCTATTGTTGAGCCTTTGTCCTTGGCTTTCTATTAATAGACTAAGGTTTGGGACCACTGCATCAAATTAACTCCAGTACACTATGTGATTGTGTGTTTCTCTCTGTGTGAATGGGGTGTGTGATTGTTGAAAAGACTGACAAGTTTTGACTTCATCTAAAAAGCTGTGAGAACTACTCTCATGCTAACTGTTGCCTAAAGTGGACAAAAAGTTTTTTATACAAAAATAAAAACAATAAAATACTCATTTCAAAAAGGATAAAGGTTGATGTGTGTTGATTTAAATACATGATCTTTTTTTATTTCATGATCACAGGATTTAAATGTCACAGGTTATGCTGCCATTAATCACTCTCTGGCATGTCCTTGATTTGGTCAGATTACTAAAACACAGAGGTTGCTGATATTCTGTTTTCGGGATGTAATATATCACATTTGTTCACAGAAGCATCATTCCCATGATGAGGTTGATAATCCATTTTTATTTTAATAAATCAACTTTATTGTCTTCAAGGGGAAATTTGTCTCACAGCTTGGTAAAACACAGAACACAGCCTTGAACATTTAAAAAAGCAAAAAACATTACTATACTGCAATAACAGGGGAAGCTCTGAATCTAATATATTTTACATTTTAATAGTTTGAAGACAAATTTGTTCCAATGCAATTATGTTTCAGACATTTCCTTGTTTTAATTGAAAAAAAAAAGATAAATAAATAATTATTTCACACAATTTTTATCTGAATATTTTGTAATTACATTCATGCACTGCAAACAGATGTGACAGACCCAAGACTCTTTAAAGTGATGTGTAGTTACACCAAAGCAGAAAAAGAGAAGCCATTGTCCTCCTTCAGACACTGGAGGTCATGACGACTGGCTGCCTGTTGCGGCATAATCGTTGGCCACTAGATGGCAGCATTAACTCAGTGCATTCCTGCCAAACACAACCTGCTCTGTACATGCACTGTCTGTGCCTTACTGTGAAATCTGAGGTTCTACGTGTTATCCATGCTACTCACTTACAGAAGCACTGGAGATATTAACATATCCAGCTGTAAGTCATCTTAAGAGTGTTTTCTTTTCTAGTGCGATGCAAGCTTGTTAAAAGGGGGGTGACCTCTTTCACAACCTAGTTCTCCACTCTCACTGACCTGGCTTTAATTCCTCAGAATGATCAGTGGCAGTAGAGGAAAACATGTAATTACTGTCATTATTACCCCTGCACAAGGAGATCATACTTTATCTTAAGATTCACTGGTTTCAGCGACTGATTGTGGAAGCAAAAATATTTGCTCTTTCCTCTCTTCAATAGCAGGAAGTTGTGAGCTGGATAAAGTGACACACTGTCTCCCCTATATTCCCCACTGGCCTGAGCCAGAAGTGGTTTCTTAAGAGCGGCCTGTTGCCAGTGTAACCCACACAGCTCCGAGGTCTCTGCTCTGGGCTGCAGGATGCAAGTCTCACTGCTCTGACATTTACTCCCTTTCAATGAGCTTTACAAACCAACGCTGGTACAAATAACAGTCACATCAGCGAGTCTGCGACTCTCTCAAACACTGCTATTATCTTAAAGAGGGCGATCATATTGTCATATTAAAGGGCACTCCGCTGTTTCTACACTTACTCCTACTTGAAGTTCAGGTTACACCGCTTGAAGAGCACAACTCAGCTTGTAAGATCATAATGTTTTCTGTGGCTCTGAAGGACCTTTGTCAAGTCACAGAGAATAACCCTGTTTTCAGTTTTTTCCCCAAAGCCCCTGTTTGCTGTCGTACTGCACTCCCATAGTGTTTGGAATAGCTGTGAAATACTTAACACCACAATAACTTTTATAGTTTGCAGAATATAAACATTGTTAACATAATTTTCCTTCAACTTCAGTTTTGTCCCCATAGGTCAACAAATATTTACAAAAACACTGTAATAATCTTGTTCTCTTCCACTGTGCCTATTAAGTACCTGTAAGACGTGGTAAGTATTTTATCAATACCTGATTCATAGAGGGAAACTGCACTTTAAATTGTGGGCTGAAACCTCCGTTACAAAGCTGAAGGGTGTATTTTGAAAGATGTGTGCATTTACCAGGAACGAAAGGCTTGACAAAACATACTAATGACTTACATTATGGGAAATGTAGGATCCAATGCTTTTGAAGCTTGACTCAAATAGCATAGAACTGAAAAACAGAGGACTGAAACAAAGTATATTTTTCCCCTACTGCTTCTATTTGGCCCATCCTGAGTCTAATATGTGTCTTGTAATATTCCCAGCTTTGTGGAAATTGCTGGTGTTCGCATTTAAGTGTCTCTCTTTACTTTAAGTTACCTGATTAAAATTCCCTTTCCCATCTATGCCAGTCACCGCGTGTGTGTATTCAGGACTGAGAATAGGGCCACACACGCACTAACAAACACCACAAACATGCAGAAACAAATTACCTCTGGAAAGTCTGTAACAATTGTGGCAGCATTACGCAACTCTGAGAACTATGCATCATCTGTTTAACCTTTCCGGTCTCTGCTTTTCTATTGTTTTACCTCTCCAATGGCCGGAAGAAGTCAGCCAGGCCCTCAGCTTCGGGGCTAATGATGGAGCACATCAGGAGCCTGTGGAAATATTTTAAGAAGACATTAAAAAAACATCATAATCAGGGTAGAGAATGGCTCCCACAGTCATCTCAGATTGTGTCGACAGATGTGCAAAATCACCAGCTTTATCTGGGCTTTCATTTTATTGTTGTGACTGGACAGCGCCATGGAGAGCGACTGGGCATTAGGAGGGTTAGGGTTAGGAGTGACGTATGTGAAATGG